CTGAGCCCAGCTTGACCTCCTCAAACAGAAACTGAGCCACATCTGCCACGGCCACATAAGCCGCGGCGTACGCCATCATCGTGTAAAGGAACACTCCCAAGTATTGATCGGAATTGATTTGTATCAACTACCAACTATGAGGATGGAGGAAAAAAATTATAAGTGATTTGCTTGAAGTTAAAGAGGAAATCTGGGGAAGAATTTGAAGGAGGATGTGGATTTCCAGCTTCCCATTCCTGCACTTTACCTTGCAAGCACATTACACCTCCCACCACAAGGAGTAAGAGGCGAAACATGCACATCATTGAACTGACCTCACTTTTACACCAGAAAGCTCTGAACACATACACGCTCTCACTCTTCTCTGGTGAAGGTCCAAAGCACAACAGAGCAACCGTTCCTTCCTCACTACAAACTCTGCACTTTTTTTAATTCCTGGGATGGAATTAGGCAGCCCGGTTTCTTTATGAGAGATGAATGTGGGCCATGAGTGCTGTAGTCTAAATTAAGATTATTTTAAAACTCAGTTTAATCATTAAATCCATACTTGGAAGGGTATTTTGCTTCAAACTTCATGTAAGCAAGTACCAGGTTGACTTTCCAAGTTCTGGTGCTGGCCAGAACCCCACACCCCCTTGTCTCACTTCACTGAATCATGGGATCACCTGGTCAAACTATTCATGACCTAGACCAGATTGCCCAAGACCCTGTCCACCCAAATCTCAACAGTGTCCAATGCTGGGGAGTCCACGACTTCCCTAGGGAGATTATTCCAATGGCTGATTGTTCTCAGTGTGAAATGTCAGCAAGACACAACATAAAGGTTGAGATTCAAAAGGGAAGCCAAACCAGTGTCTGTCATATAGGCTTCAGCTTCATATGGATGTTGAAAGATCTAGGTTTACAGCCTGAAGCGACCTGAAATGAACCCACCAGGGTGAGTAACGTGGCTGTAAATAAGTGCTGAAATGCAGCAATTTATGCCTCAGTAAAGTTCTTTGCAAACAGTTTTTGGTGTCCATTCACAACATTAGCAGAAGGTACCTTTAAAGCACAAGGATCTAGTCCCATTTCGTATGAGCCAGAAATCTCCTGGATAATTTGTTCAGTCTTTGCGAAAACCTACAGCAAAGCTGTAAGCAATCATGGCTCTCACTTAAGACATGCAATACAATCAACTTTAAAGCACAGTGTATTTGCTTCTCTTATCGTTTGTGGTGAAGTATATTATCACTTCACATAGGATTATTCCCCTCAGTTCCACAGCAGTCAATACCCAGCATGGAGCAGTGTTGTCTTGCTAACCTGAGCCCCACTGATGGGCACACTAGGTGATGGGCAGAGCCCTGGTTCCCCAGCAGAAGAGCTCTTCAACAGCAGTGAAGCACAGCACAGCCGTGAAATACCCGTACTTCCAGAGCAGTGTGTGGGAACACGCTGAGCTGGAGGCAGCTGGGCTGGCAGCTGAGCCTGCAGTGCCAGCCCAGGAAGGGCACCCACAGGGGAGGTAAGGTGGGGAAGGAGAGGAGAGAGGGCTGCAACAGTGATGATCACACAACTCACATAGCTTGTGCCTCATTTCTGCCAAGGACTTAAGGACATAATAAAGAGAAGACTCTTCACCCGTGTTCATTAAACAAACTTTAATTCACACAAGGCAAATGCACACACATTGCAGACAGGAGGCCAAACAATACTGCGACAAAACAGATTCTCTATTCCTTAGTACTGCAAACTCTTCCGGACAATTTTCTGCAAGAACTGCGATACCTCTTTGCTGTAAACCCCAGACCAAAGAGAAGCACAACCTTGATCCGAATCTAAAATTCAGGTGTGCTATCCGCTGGTGCCCAGGTTGCTCACTGGCCAACCAGCGCCATGAGAAGTCAGACACGCTCAGAACCTGCCCTGGCTGCGTTTCCTTCCCTTCATTTTTCATTCTGACCAATTCAAAACAGTTTTGAGTCAGCTTCATGTAAAATTTAACTGGCAAGAGCCATAAATTCAATGATTCAACAGATACATCACAGTGCTCAATGTAAGCAAGAATAGTGACTTCTTAGAAAAGATGCATAGATAAAAATAATGATAATAAAAAGAAATCATCTTCCTATCAGAAAATCATTCCTGTAAGAGATTGCAGCTGCAGCCATGTCCCACTCAACGCTCCTGGCTAAGGGGCTAAGGGCAGCCTTCAAAAGAACTACACTTTTCCCCCCAAGTCCATAAACGTCTATGAACAAAACCTAACACAAAATGAACACACAACATTACCTGTTATGGAAACAATCTGATTTTTATAAAGTTGTCATTTCTGCACCAAATTAAATGGACAATGCATTTGTCACACCATGGTTGGATGAAAGACCACAATGTCTCAAAACATTTCTCTGTGTGGTGGCACTACAGGCAAATTCAGTTGTTGCTTTCAGCTAACTATAACTGAGACGTAATAGGTTGCCAACTCATACTAGAATGAAGTATATCTAGTATCGATCTTCTCAACACCCACAAATGTATTACACTAAAAATCTTGTTATAAAGTTGCACAGATTTTTATGTTAACCATTAAAGTTTGTATGAAAAAGCAGAAGTTGATCAACAATCTACCTGTTGATTCCCAATATAAAACAGTAGGTAGAAACCTAATGTAGAAATCTGAAGTTAGATAAATCCTTTGGCAGCGTATTCAGTTATAATCAGGCCTTAAAAATAAATATGATCATGTCTAGAAGTATGAAGAGAAAGAACAGATCCTATTAACACTAAAACCCTCTGAATACACTATTTTAATAATAATTATTTTACACTATCTACAAGTTGCGTATCACAGGTTTAGGAATACAAGAGATGACAGGATGACAAATCCTGCTTTCATAAAATGTCAGGCTTTAAGAGTATGCATATATGTAGCTGTGTAGAAAATCTCAGACAAATGAGTATATACATTATTTATATTTAATAATTAACTGAACGTCACCAAATCACATCTGTCTAGTGATCTCAATTTAAGTTACTTAGTATTTCTGCTGGATCAAAGATTTGAATCCAATAAAAATACCCATCTTAATCTCAATTTACTAACAAACATGGAGAATCTATATAAATGACAGCAAAGTTTAGTTTGACCACATATCAACTTGGAACAAAGTAAACTCTTCCAAAAAAATCTCCAAACAATAAGAAATTTAAACAGCAGCTTTGAAATTAATTATTTTTCCTTAGAGAATGCAAGGAACAAGTCATCAAAATACTTCAGTATTTTAACATGTGTTACTTGGCTACTTCAAGGGAAAGGAGAAAGACAAAGTCATGTCAAAAGGAAAGACAAAAGCTTCCTTCCATTGCACAAATTTAAATAAAAATAAAAGATTTCAAGAGCAGGTACTGAATACCTTATTGTGTAAGCATGAGGCTGCAAATGAATACGGTTGTGATGTCAAATAATTAAATAAAATGTAAAAGAAATGGAGGTGCCACGGAGCGAAGGGTGGTTTTTATTGCTCAACAAGAGTCTGGAATCTGATAGTCCCAATTTGGTAGAGAATTTATATGCCAAATATGCTTATTTAGTCATCTGGAGTTTCATGCATTTAACCAAGATGTCTTTATCAGTGATTTGCTTCCATTATTTTTCCAATCTGAAGATTATTGCTCATCATAAAACTGTTAAAATAGGTATAAATGACCATGCTGAAGTGAGTGAGTAGAAGAACAAAGTGATTTTTTTTTTCAGAGGTTGAAACAATTTAAGAAAGAAGTCCCACATTCCCAAAAGATAATTCAGCCCATCCGCTCCACTTGTACAAACCCCACCCCTTAAAAAAGTGCATCAGGGAAGAAATTCTTCAATTTCTTTTCTTAGCCACCAAATGCTGCACTTCCACAGTTTTGAGGCAATTCCTTTCCCAAAGACATGTCTGTCATTTTCAATATGCAACCACTCCTTATATTAAACAAGGAGCACAATCCCACTCACAAAGCATGTGTATTTTGCCTATACAGACTGGGCATCACACGCACCTTTTCCAAATGGTGCAAGTTTCACTGACTGCAATGAGTGTTTATTTAAGCATGGTGGCAGAGAAAGGAAATTCAAGAGACAACCTTCTGGTCCCATGATGATTTCTGTTCCACTCTGCTCCCCATTAAAAAGGTAACAAGGTAGATTCTCACAGCCTTAAGCTTCAAACATTCTTGAGCCCCCTCCTTTACCACAAGGAACTACAATACTCCTTCACTTCTAAGTAAATCCAAAAAGGAAAAGAGAAGATATTCTGTATAAGTTTCTGGCTCAGCACCTTGTATCCATATAGTGCCCACGCAGTCAGCTGGGAGCATCCCTTGCCTGCGTTCACGAAGGAGACTTGTGCTTGCAGTACCACCTCTGCTGAAAGACACAGGCCAGTTCTAGCAAAACCCCACCTGTTTTCTTCAAGAGAAACACATCAGAAGTTCTCCAAAAACCTACCAGGCAGCACTGTAAAATCTCCTTTCTCCTATTCCTGTAGGTACATGGTCCTCACTGTCACAATATCAAATCATTTTCTCTTCCAGCTCTCCTTTGCTGAACTTGCGTTGTTCCCATTAAGCAGTGCACATCATAATGTGAAACTCACTACAACAGCACAGAGAAGGTGGTCTCTAAATCTGCAGACATTCTCTAAAGCCACTTGGATAGAAGGATTATAGTAAGATACCAGAGGAGGGAATGCAAAATGAGAGCAACACATAACAATGATTAAGCATCCTCAAGTTTTCAGAAACACATTTATAGGAAAATTATGTTTGGACTATCTTTTAACTTAAGATTCACAAGTGGCACTTCTTGAAAGCACTGAAATAAGGGCTCAAAGTAATCTGAAATTATTTTAAACCATCAGCTAATCTAGTTCAAGCTATCTTTATGCAAATGCTTAACAATCAGATCTGATGCATATTTTTATTCTGCATCATCCTAATGCAGTGAGTTGGGTTATTTAAAAGGAAAATGTATCTTGATATCCTGTGACAGGTATTCATAAAAATCATGAGGTCAAGCAACTTTTATTCATTAACTCAGAAGTACGAGCTGGTTTGTTTTTAAAGAAGAGGCTGTTGATGGTAATTTGCTTGTTGCTGAAGAACAGAATGAGCAGGAACTGCCATGGGATAACCTGGTCCTTGAGGCAAGCTTGACGTATTATTCTGGTAAACCGACATATCCACCGACATTCCCATCTGCTGCTGCTGGGTGTATGCAGCTGTGCTGGCAGCCGATGGAAGGCTGGGGTTTTGGTTCACGTACGGCTGGTTTAACACAGAATCTGGTCCTGGGCTGTAACACAACAAAACAAATCAAATTCCGGCAAGTTCATGTCTATTTATCTGACACACAAATTTGCAAAGAATACTGTTTAGTCCACAAGCAATCTCTCTATTTTCAAAGTTATCAAACAGTATTACATGTCATTATAAATATCCCAAGAACACACAACCTTTAGACCAAGTAGTAAAATTACCATCAGGAAGAAGGTGATTTAAGAGTTTACTGAAGCAATACCTTAAATACGCAGCTTGAGCTGGCTGAGCTGCTCCAGAAGAATTTATACTTTGAGGCAGAGACCTCAACTGCCCCATCTGATCCGGTCCTAGGCTATAGCCTGGGGAAATGGTGACTTGGTGAACACCCTGGATCATGTAGTTTCCACTAGGTGGCTGCACAGGATATGACTGTAAATAAAAAAACCCGTCATTGTGTACCTTTCATTTTCAATTAAGTAGCAACAAACACGGCACAGAACGCCACTACAGTGGTAGGGTTCAAAGCCTGAATGAGCATCAATTAACTTTTTCAACAAGGTTCTAAAACTGAAACATGTAACTTCTCAACACACATTTTAAATAGGCATCTTTTATTTCACCAGCAGCTCCCCTTTCCAGAAATGCACTGCTAATAAAGTCAGTGCTTAATATCTGAAGGAAGAACATCACATACAAGGCCTCTGTCCCTCCCAGAAACCTTATTTTTTTCTCTAAATTGCTTTGTCTTTAAAACGTTTGATCCTTACATATTTTGATGCATAGAGTCAAATAGAAAGACAGACACCATATGAGACTTGTTACTTAACACATTTTGTAAATTAAAACATAAGAATATTCTGAGACTAACACAAAAGGAAAGCAGAAAATTTAGTTTCTTTCATTTCTGGTTTAAGATAATGCAAGTCTTTACCCAAAATTCAGATAGAACAGGTGGTATAATACACTTTGTCTACAGAAGTCTACACTGCTCATTGGTTTTGGACTTTTCATTGCATATGGACACTGACGGAAGAGACAATTTTGTACCAAGTAACACCACTAAGCTCAGCACGCTTAACATTATCTTTTATTTTTCATTACTGAAGTATGCATCTTGGAAGAAACAGTAAACTCCAGTTGCCTTTTGGCTTAAATTACTTTTTAACCTTCAAATATAAAGAATTTTCCATCGTTACTAGGAGTTAAGGACACGCAATTACTTTTAACTGACATATTTTCAGATCTAGCAGTTGCTATGGCAACTATTCTTTTCCCACTGAACAATTAACATTAAAGCAAAATTCACATAAAGTAAAAACGCTCATTCTATGTTTTCTCCAAAAAGGATCTTTAAAAATATTTCTCCTCCATTTTTGTTTTCTTAAATCATCAATATCGCACATTTGAGACACTGTAACAGTTTTGAGCAACTACACCCCCTGATACAACATGTTCGTTTCTTAAGGGGAAAAAAGAGCTAAAACAAGACTAATGTTTCTATATTTGAAAAAAGTACACCACGTTCATGATTAATGCATTAATATTAAAGTTCACTCACATCCCCCCGATTAGATAAGAAGGTAACATTTTACTTTAAGACGGAGGACATGACTCACAGCAAGAATTTCCACCAAGCTGCTGAAACACAGAATTTTAACTGTAAAAAATTAATCAGGGAAGGGATCTGTATTTTCAATACAGTATTCTTCAGTTAAGCAGAGCAAAATTAACAACTATACCTTATTGTACAAGCAGGTGACTGCAAACTGAAGTACACTGGGTTAGTGCGTAAACGATATTTTACCCTGAATGCTATAAAAAGTCACCAGGCAATTGTTCATAGGCTAGCAGGAAAGCATGCACTTCATTTTTGCTGTCATCTTTTTAAATAGAAATCTATATTAGGAAAGCATCTATTTCCAGAAAGGGATACTGACCTGCACTGAAACACCAGAAGATGTAGGTGGGTATTGTGCAGGATGGTGGAGTTTTGAGTAGGCTGAATACATTGGTGTTTCATTCATCAGTTTGTTATAGAGCTCCAGAGCTTCTAGAACTTTCACATTCAATTCCGATAATTCTGAATGTTTTCTGTTTCAAAACAAATACATGCAAACACTAAGTTTCTCTAACATCTAGAGTTAGATAGTAAAAAAAAAGAAGAGTGTTTCATTAAATGGTTTTGAATATGCAAGAAAAAAACCCAAGCCCTTAAAAGGTCAATTTCTTACACATCTATATTGTAAAGTTGCCATTCTGTTTCTTATACCAAAGGGACTGGAAAGAGAGTTGAAGAAGAACTGTTCTTCCCTAGCTGCAAGAAGGTAAACAACTCCACAAGTGTTAGTTACCTTTTCTTTTCACCCTCAAGTATCCCCCTAGGAGCCTGAGGGGACA